CATAGAAGCTATGAGAGGTTCACGAGGTGGGACTAAATATACACATTTGATTTACTAGTATGTTGTTTGTAAAATGTTTGTGTCACTTTTCATTTAATTTAATTGATAACGTAAGTGGGGAGGGAATACATAGACAAGCAAATGGGATTGACACACCAATATGGCATACGATGATGAATATACATTTTGAGTACAGGAGATTGCGGACAAATATCTCAAGCATATTTGTTTTTGTGTTATTCAGCGAAAAGACACGTAGAGTAGTTTCTAGACAGATTTGTCAGTTGTAACACATGATATCGCACGGTTGTGAAGATAGGACGTCATTTCGTTAACACCTGGTGTGAAAATATCTCAGTTTAACGAGTTCTCGTCTAATCCCGTGCTCCTGTGCGTGAGTAGCATTAAGCAATCAACGCACATAACATCCATTTCATACGATGGGATGTCAACCTATTTACGTCTAGCATATATAGTACTGAAACATTGCCGTTAACTTCAATATCATTTTTCAAAATAAAATGTTCCATTAATTTTCCTCTCCAGGGCAGTTAGCCATATTTTGTCGAATGTCAAATCCTCTGTCTGTCAACCAGCCCTCTACAGCAGCAACCAGTTCTTGGTCCTCATTAAATAACGGACTTTTCAAATTTGAAAAGGAAGGTGGTAATCACTAGGTACCAGGGCCCCGTTCCTCAAAGCGATCTTTGCGCTACGATGATCGTAAGCCTATGTTAAAGTATGGGAGTTACGGTCACCTTAGCGCTAAGATCGCTTTGAGGAACGGGGCCCAGATCTGGCGGATAAAGGGCATAGGAGAGAAGATCGTATCTACATCTCCGTACTGCAGCCATTGCAACATGACTGGTGTGAACTGCTGCATTGTCCCGATGGAGGAGAACGCAAGGTCGAAGTTTGTCGCAACGCCTCTCTTTGATAGACTCTCATTATATATTCAATAAATTGGCATCTTCTTTCAGAGTTGTTTCCCCGATAAATAACTGATGTGTATTATGCCTTTGCTGTCCCAAAAGAAGGTGGCCTTAACGTTGTTAGAGGGTGTGGTTGCTTTGAACATCTACGGTATGGGATACCTGACGTGTTTCCACTCCATGTAGTTTTGTTTGCTCTCCAGGTCACAGTTATGTATCCAGGTATCGTCACCTGTCACTTGCCTAAAGTGAAAATATTCTGGGTTGCGATCATATCTGGTAAACAGGGCATTAGAAGTAGTGACCCGCGAGGTTTCATTTAAACCGATAGCATTTTAGGAACCCTTTGGGCACAAACCTTTGAAGTATGTAGACGTTCATGAAAGAGTTTTCCTATTGACGCATAACGAGAGGCTTGTGGTCCCCTTGCACTCATGGAATGTAATTGGCCTGTTGTTAAGCACCAGGTTGTGGACGGCATCAGTGTTTTCTTTTGTGGTACTGGTAGTGGATCGACCAGCGCGGGGGTCATCTTTCAAACTCTCTCCCTCGCTGAAATTCCTTCCCCCAACATTTAATTGTGGTACACAACTTGTGGCCTTTCATCAATATTCTTTGGTGATTGACTCTCTCGGTAAAACCATTTTTAATTATCAGTGATTGTTCAAAAACCACGCCAAGTTGTGAAAGATGACTCAATACCAATACATGTCACATGTAACTATAACAACAACTCAGAGGTGCTGTTCCACAAAGCGTTCGTTGTGCTGAGACGATTCGCAACTCCCATACTTTAACATAGACTAACGAGAGTCGTAGCGCTATGATAACTTTGTGGATCGGCATAACTTTCTGATATCCCATCATAAGGCGATTTGTTTTGCACATATTGTACACAATTCTTTTGTAGCTTTTTCAAATACAATCAGAGCTAATGGCAACCTCCATTTAGACTGAGGGAAACATATAGACTCGTGTACCATATAATTTTATTTTTTTCTGATTTTTTTTCTGAAACCAAATCTCAGACAAGAACATATCTCTAAGATGACAGGAACAATCTACAAGACAGAAATACGGGTATAGTGCAACGTTAGTTTGACGCACAGGTGAGAAAGATGATGTCCGATGCAATTCCTATGTTGAATTTTACCACATGTTCCTGTGTTTTATTCAGGTGCTTGACTTGCCTTTGCATGTGTATGTGACGGTGCCACCGGTTGGATATCATCAATATTTGATAGAGATTCACAAACAAATACTTATGATAAAGTCGGAATCGTGATGAAGTCTGCCTTGAGTAGATACTGCTCATGATTATGGAAATAGGCTGGATGTGATAAAATACAACCTTTGATATTTATGTGATAGTTACGAGTGACCGAACGTTAGTGTATTATCCTGTAGGACCCGACAGCGCCAATCGTGTTCTTAGACATTTAGCGTTCTTACACACTGATGAGGATTGGTTCAGACGGGTTCAAGTGTATACAACTGGATAGACTTTCACACATGAAAGCTTGAAATAGAAGGTAAATATAGTGATGGCGTCAGAGTTTGAAAATAAATTTTGCTGCACAATCCTTTTATATATGGTAAATTGGTAGTTGTCTGCACGCTGCGTTGAAACGTCTGACTTTCCTATTGCGATCTATTCATTTAAATTCCGAGCGTCCAAATCTCTACACAAGACTGTATGATCAGAGTGATGAATTTAACTCTCTAATAGTCATCGTTCTCTTTGTGTCTGCATGCTCTTTCTACGAAGATTTCGGAGAACATCATACGATTCTTGTGTCATAAAATCTTTAAAAGGTTTTATAGGACATTTCCAAATTTGAGCATCAGTGACAAAAATGACGTCCAAAGCAATTCCCTATTTTGAGTGAGTGAGTGAGTGAGTGAGTGAGTTATGTTTAACGCCGCTTTTAACATTATTCCAGTTATATCACGGCGTGTCAGCTTAATGTGGGAGGAAAGCCCCAAGTGATGCAGGTCTCTGACGTTTACCACTTCGGTGAAACCCACGAGCACGGGTATGGTGCTGACAAACCTAGAAACATAATTGGGGCGAACCGGGATTCGAACCCACAATCATAGGTTTCTGGCGTGCCCACGGGTCGCAACTCTGCACAGCGAATCGCGGCGCCTTAGACGACTGGGCCACCCGTGCCCCCTCCCTATTTTGACTTGTAGCACGTGTTACCGGTTGAATATTTGACTTTCCTGTGCATTGTGTTTGTGCCAGCGGTGGGTAAAATACGCTCACCTTTTCGAGAACACCTGGTATAATCAGTGTTTGATAGTGATATCTAAACACATGCGTATGATATTGTCTAAATAGTACAATGGCTTTAGTTGAGATTTCTTTTTGTTACATTGTGACGTAATGAAATTTGTGATTACCATTTTAATCATGATGCGGGGCTACGGGTGGCCCAGTCGTCTAAGGCGCCCTGATTCGCTGTGCAGAGTTGCGTCCCTTAGGCACGCCAGAATCCTATGATTTTGTGTTCGAATCTCGGTTCGCCCCGATTATGTTTCTAGGTTTGTCAGCACCATACCCGTGCTCGTGGGTTTCACCGAAATGGTAAACGTCTGAGACCTGCATCACTTCGGGCTTTCCTCCCACATTAAGCTGACTGGAATTCTGTATAAAGCGGCGTTAAACCCAACTCACTCATTTAATCATGATGCCTGCAGAATCTGAAAATTCACCTCGAAACGGTAAGAAACCATAGGTTCGCCATTTGATGAATGACAACTTGTTTACATGCAAGCTGCAAGATCATCTTGATATAATCTGAATATTACACGACATGCTAAACTGGGAATGTGAGAAATGTATGTTTTTTGTCAGTTTCGACAGTATTTTTGATATTTAAACCTCGGAACTGTGAGCGTTCCCTACTGGGCTAGAAGCCAAATGTTGTGCTGCGTATCTTTACCCATGATGTAGGTCACTGGGCTACGGAGGTCCAAAGGAATACATAACCCGCTTCTCCATGTTTCACATATGTCTTAATTATTTTTAAGCCTGCCTGGTTTGAGACAGGATATGCTATACACCCAATACGGTGAGTGTTGAATGATTGTATCGGTTTTTTGTATGTGAGGCGTCTTGGTTTTGAAGACTTGTTGACCGTCTAGTGCCATGTGCAGTTGTAGTAAGGTTATGTTGGCATGGTTTCAATACACTGCGAACCAATCGGGGGAAAAGTACTTTAGACGAAGAAATTTACATGCTTTCGTGTTTGCAGATAAAGTTCTATATGGGGCGTTGGGCTAGTGGAAGTTTGTAAATTCCGTGACCTTTTTGTAAATGAGCTGTATCCCTACGGTAAAATGTGATATCGCATATGGCTTATAGGTTATCGTCTGGATGTTTAAGAAGATTGCTATATACCTTAGGCTAGTTTATTCAGATCATGGCAACCTCATAGACATTCCAGATTCGGCCCGACATATCATTCCTCCAGATAAGATAGACATAATTGGAAATTTTAAAGTTATTCATGGGGGGATACCTTTGACCAGTCACGGAAAGGGACGCCTGTGTCGTGGGGAACTGAATGGTGCAATATGGCTTTACGCATGCGCTGATCTGGGTGCGTCGATTTCCCGTTATTCTGCTCTATGATGTCTGATACCCTCTCCTCCATTCCCCCTCCCGAAAAGAACGGGCATCAATACTTTTTTGACGACCACTACCCAAAATCTGAACAAACTCAAACTACGAATGTCAAAAGTGTCGACACGTTGAGATGTATGCTTCTGAACGAACACGGTTGAGGACACTTTGCTGTGCGTTAATGGCTACCAAAACACGAACTGTAGGGACTGGGTCTTCCCATAACAAAGTGATACTAACTTAAATGTTTTCGAGTTTTTTCCCAGGCTTGTATGACATTTGAAAACCTCAAACCCTAACTCTAGGCCTCAAAATCTGACCTCTTTCAACAAAATAACATGTGTTTCGAAGCTTTGCGTGCCAAAATGGCAAGTGTGGACGTATTGGAAGCCACTCCTCTGCACTTTTTTTACTTAGTTACAAATGTGTTGTCTTACCTCATCAACGATGTTCTCATCGTCGTCGATGTAGTTCTGGAAGTTCACCACGGGATCCCTAGCATCCCACATGGCAAACATGGAGCTACTTGTTTCTTCCTCATCACGGTGCTTCGTAACCGCCATCTGGTAACGTGACCACGTGACCGAACTCTCGAACCCATCCCACGACGGCAGGTTTTGTTTCGTCATCCCATGCAGCATCATGCGGTAACTGTTCTGATTGCCATACTGATCTGTTTTGTCGGCGTTGGAAAACAGAAGATACTGGGGCTTTTCAAAGTCATATCTAAACGTAGCTTCTTTTTCAGTCCGTTTTATGTGTTTGCTGAAATATAGCTGAGTGTGTTTGCTGTTACCCCCGTCTGACCATTCATTGGTCTTGTTTTCCATCTCGATGTTGAAAGTCTGGTGTCTGTTGCTTACACCCTTCACGTCAACGTCTGCTTTGAAGTTGAAAAGATGGTGATGCATGCCGGCAACGACGTTGTCGTTAACGCGGGTTCCGTATCGCGCTTCCTCCGGGGAGAAGAAGCTGGTTGTGAGGTAGCCAGTGGAGACGACTCTGACGTGAACCGCGCCATTGTTGTGGAAGGTGAAGTCGTACACGTAGTCGTAGTTAATGACGGAGATGACGATGCGGATGACGAGGACGCTGTCTAAAAGGCCGTTGTAGAAAGCGCCAGATCGGCTGTAGGCGCGGTGGCGTCTCAGAGGTAATTGCGTGTTCTGTTCAAAAATGCACAAAGCGTTTTCAAATTTCCTCATACCACCTTCGTTGGATGTGAACAGCTCAATGTCTTGAAATGTTGCGTAATCGGGACAGTCTATTCCAGGAAGCAACCCGCGAGATCTTGTTCCGTACAAACCGGCACTGTCCGCAAAATAAAGCATGCTTGAAGCTGGACTATGACCAGAGTACAGCACTGCTATTTCCTGCATACTCAGTTCGTATAGGATTCGCTCCCCTTGGTATCGAATGTCAAATAACTGTATTCCCACTGTCGGCGACATTCTGAAATTCATCCGCCACATCATATAGTCCACCTGATTGCCCCTGATCTTATACCTAGGCCCATTCGGCTGGAAGTGACGAGGCATGTGAAGGTCTTCACTCGGAAAGGTCGGCCCCCTTAGATGAAGGGAGCTGTACAAGTCTTTTTCGTCACAACTTGGGTACGACACCCTGGTAGTATTTATTTGGTTATGTTCGTATTTCTGTAACAAATCTTCAAGGGAAGGAAACAATGTATTAGCATACCAAACTTGTTGAATGGTCCAGTTGTTTGGATGAACGTCCGTCATGTCGACCAGAAATTGGAAGTCCAATGGCAGTAGCGTAAAAAACTCTTTGTCGTACGCCAGCCAAAACCATGCCTTTCTCTCCCCTTCCCCAATGAACGCACTTGAAACGGGTGTCATGGAAAAACGTAGACATTTATCCGTGCAGTCTAAAAGGGTGGCACCATAACTTTCATTTAGCAATTTATTAGCTCGACGCGCCACAGGAGGAAGAATGTACCTATAGATCCCTTTGAACTCATAAAGAGAAAATGGTCGAATGGTGTACGGAATCTGTGTCTTTCTGGCACGATTTTGAGCCAATTGATGGAAGGAAATGTTAGGCAGATTGCCTACTAAGTATTCTTCCACCAGAGGTGGAGTCGCATTGCCCATGAAGATGTAGACTTTAGCCTGACGAGCTGGGAGAGGTCCTCCGTTGTCAAGGTTCTCCAACACTTCATGCTTTGGAGCTAGTTTTAACTCAACGCTGTGGATGAAGTTGGAGTTAATTTCTGCTGTTTCCAAAGTGGAAAGACCCAGTGATTCCTGTTTCATGAGGTAGTCTATGATTGTTTTCACTTCCTCCACCTTCAGTTCTGTGAAGGAGTGAATAGGGCTCCGGATGTATTCGTCCTTTGCGAAGCTGCGGTGCTCAAGCTGGCACGGGACGGTGACTTGGTCTTCAATGGTTCGCGAAGTCTGGCAGAGTACCACTAAAGTTACCACCAAGGCAGTCAGGAGACTCAAGATGATGGCGACGAGGATGAACTCGAGGATATCCCGTCGTTTGACCTTGTGTTTGATAATCGTCACATCTTTGCTCATTCTGAAACCAATCAATATATAATTAACATCCTCACGGGTGCCAAGACATTTACAAGTTGGTATCCGGATATTCTGTAATAAGAACATTGAATATTTTGATTTAACGAGAATAATTTAAGAAAACATTTGAAAGTATTTAACAGTGCAATATCCAACCATACTCTGGCTCCCTGTTCTATCCTGATCTATCTTGCAGTTACTTAAGGGGCACAACTGGCTCACGTGTCTAAAGCGCCGCAATTCGTTCTAAGGAGTTGCGTCCCTTATGCGCGCCAGGACCCACTGTCGTGTGATGGAATCGCGGATACGCCTCATTTATGTTCCTTGCGCTATACCATGGTTTTTGTGTTTCCCAAAAGTGGCAAATGTCTTCGACCTGCGTTATACACCAAACACTGTTTACACGCCACGCCACAATTAAATAGTGTTCAATGAGGCGTTAAAGCCAACTACCTCCCGCTAGAATGTTCGGAAGCAAGGGCAGTCAAGGGCAAATCATATTTAGAGGCCTCTGACAGCTATTTGAATATGATGTAGTGTAAATTTCTAATGAAGACCTTTGTCTACCGAAATGGAAGTGGAAGCTGGAGTAACATCGCATTGTTTACGTCAACATGTGGAGCATTACGTGCTATACATAGGCCTTTCGTTTTACAGTCAAACCACATTTTGTTAAGCAGTTGAATCACTGTGAAAAGGTCCCGTGCACTAGGGATAAAATGGGTGTAAAACCGACGTTTGTCCGTTACGCTTGAGCTGTTTGGTGGTAAACATTGCTGTAACACAAGCTGTGATTGGTGAGGTGTGACATGTTGACCTCTTCTGTCGAGGACAAGGCCAAATATGATTGAGGGTTAACACAAGGAATGGGGACGGTTAACTTTCGGTATACATCTATTTCACGTGTGATTATTTCAAGATACTTGGATGAAATTTTAATAAAAACATTATCAGTAGGATTTAATATAAGTGTTTACCATACATTTATACCGTAATGTCTTAACTATTTACATTAGTATTTACATGAGTAGTCATAACAGGATCTTATTTACTTGGACCTCATCAATCATGAACCTCATCCCTTCATTTGAATATGATCCAATATAATTCCAGCCTAGTCATGTTGCCAATAAGACTGGTCATTGGTCTTTATATTGTGGCGTGAAAGCGGAGACCTGTACTTATTACCTCCCACGCTTGTTTCTGCTTAAACTGCATCGGTGTTGTGATGGAGAGAGAAAGGTTTAGGGGTTTCAGAAGCAGTAGCCATGCCACGCGAAACAAAGCGTCAGCTGAGAAGACATAGATGAAACGTGCTTCCATTTGTACTCATCGTATGGGAAACGTATGAATGAATGCGTTACTTGGCCATGTGTGAGAGACTTCCTATACGCTGTGGTTATTGGCTACGCTCGCTAGAAAAATAATAATCTGTTTATGCCATCAGTGGTATATCAAATATCGGAATGGAAACAGAAGGCAGGCAATTTTGGGCTGTATGACGTCATAAACATTGACGTATATACATGTTCAAAGAGAAGCATTACGTAAATTGAAATATACATGCTATTTAGGAAGATTGAATTAATGTGCTGTACATCTCTTGTCAACAACTTATATACCTCGGTCAAACATGAAATCTAAACCTCCTTTGATGAAATGATTGAACGTGAACAAGGTGACGTCATGTTTTCACTTATCCAGATATGTTTATGTGACGGTAATTGGAAGAAAAGATTCCACTTTAACCCGGAGTATCATTCATAATGGTCAATGTGTGAATACGGCTTTGTAGGAGTTGAAAGCTCATCCGGTGTTATATCCGCTGTAGACTGTGTTGCGCTAAGAACGCGGATCTGATGACGTCCGTGACACAGGTGAACACGATCATCACAAATAACGTATAAGTTATTGTAATATTAAATAACTTCCCGCATGAGAGAATACGGGTGCGAGATTGTTTGAAATTTTTATGTGATCCAGTCTTGTCGGGGACTGTGCTTGGTACAATTGGCAGTAGTAGCAAGTGTGATTAAAGCCTTTCAAAACTTACGTTGTTCGTATGTTAACTCAAATAGCATGATGTATATGATAATTAAGATTAGCCTACACAGACACAATGCAATTACAAGGTTAATATCCGATGGATTTTTCATACGTCAGTAGTGGTCCCTGTATCCTCCCTAGCCATCTCAGTTACGACCACAGCGCTATCAACTGTAGAGCCACAAGGAAGGTTTACGATTCTTCTCGTTCTTATATCCTGTTTCAGTTTTTATAAAGGATATAGAATAAAGACGTGTATTGCTCGAGAGCCCGTGAACAAGCATGTGATTGTCCGCCAGGTATGTGGAATGTGAAAATATAAACAATAAAAATTTAAAATGATTCATACATTTCACTGAGAAACGTCAAATGACTCACACTACTCTAAAAATATAACACAAGAATGTGCTATATTAAACGTTACCCGTGTATTAGTTCCCGGGGAATGTTATAAAGATTTCAGAAAATGCATTCGATCAATCTTAAATATGTACATGATAGTTTGAGTTGGAACTACGTTGATAATGTGGGTAACTGCAGAGGTGTGACGGCGAAGAACAGATCGCTTGGGACAAACACGATTCAGATAGGAAGTGGTCATAAGTTAACGATACACTATATTGTCTTGAAGAGGAAGGTACAAACGGACGAACATAGTGACCATGGACGTGATGAACGGACAGACCCACGGATGAGCAGATAAACAATTGTGTTACAGCTAACAAGGGCTAGTATGTCAGCGAGAGAGCATTCGGCGGGAACAGGGGGAGTTGTATGTAGAATGTTTCACGGTGCTTCGCTGGGTGTCGAGGGGACAGCGAGCGGGCACCAGGTACGCAGAACACAGCTCATATAACCGGGGTAGGTGACAGATATTGAGATACTAATAGTATTCGCAAAAGCAACATATATGTAAAAGACACGTAGTTTCGTACATACATGCCGATAACATATTTTTAGCAAGAATGTATTGTTTGACTTTACGTTGAAGTTAATGTATAATTTGAAGCTGTACCGTTAGAGGCATTCGAGGTATTGTTACACACGTTATATTACATTTGTGTGTACGGTCTGTAGGAAAGATGAGAGGGACGCTACGGACACTTGATATAGGTAACAGGACGGATGGTCAGGTAGAAAGATAACAGTATACATATATAAAGATGAAAATATATCGCTGGGAGATGTGATACAACTCAGATCCATGAACAGATAAGAGTCATGGACAGCGCTTTTAAATCAAACTTAGTACAGTTTGGTATGTATTAAACAGAAGTGTATATACTAATAAAGTAATATAAATTATTATCAGTATTAATGGCTTAACAAGTACCCAAGTATCAAGACTGGTGTCTCACCTTAGCATAGCAGTGGTAGCGCTGCAGTTGGAGTCACTATCAAGGGGCATCGTTTGTCCACATTGAAGGTACTCGAGTGTCTTCGTCGGGAATGACATAGGATTTGAGGCACAATCGTCTTTTAGATACATGTAAACAAAAGTACGTTACAGAGGACAGGAGGTTCTCTGCGTGTTCTACGCGCGTGTTGCTGGCTTTAACTGTTTCCGAACACCCAACAACTCGGATAATATTGCCATATCTGGGTCATGTGATTGCCAATAGATGACATGTGTTTTTGTCAAGTCTAAACGAAGGGTTCTCATTTGTTGTTATAGGAATTCACTGCCCTAGTGCACTTCGAACGAAGCTTTGGTCCATTCAGAATCTGTGGGGGTGAGGCTCCTCTCAGCCAATCAGAAGAGGAACTGCCACCTTCTTAGCCAATCAGCAGCTCTGCTGAGACACTGCCCACAATTTTCTGTTTATGTTCTGGAGAGGGTTGTGGGGTGTTATGTATGCGGACGCTGGGGTTCGATTCACCTGAATGGCTAGTTTCCTGGACAGTGTCCAGTTACAATGACACGCATTCCGCTCTCGGTTGGGCCCACTATTGGCTGAACTGATCTCTCGCTTAACAAAACAGTATATTTACTTCAAAAAACTTACACGTTATGACATTACATGGTACAAGAAAACGTGATACTTATTAACACCGCTGACAAAGCAGTATGCTTTTAAAGTCGATGGATATTAGGCGCTTTACAAATCAATTATTATTATTATTATTATTTTATGCGATGTCCTTTTTAAATAATATACATTATTATCATACGGCTGAAGCTGGACGAACACTGTGTATGGTTACAAAATCAATAACCAACCTTCCCCATCATCCCAGAGAGTATGTGAATATTACGCAGAAGCCTACATGAGTAAGCCATTTAGACAATTTCATCACCCCGGCCTCAACGCCCTAGCCCCGCCAGGCAAAGCCCTTCCCCCGCCCGTCACCCGCTGATCGCACTGTATTCTCATTGTTGAGGGGGAGTGGGCAAAACGCCAACGCTCATCTCGATTTCGCTCTCTCGCCTCGATCCAACATCCCCATCAAAGTCGGGTCAACAATGCTGGCGTTTGGCCAAAAAAGCACATAATATCGACACTGTGAGATGCGCATGTGTACTCACCAACACCGAGAAGATTCGTAACGGTTAGGCTTACCAGAAAAAAGGTGAACCCTTCATTGCATATTACATATGTCAGCCAGGTTTTGGACGAGATAAGCAGCAGGTTACTGCAGCCGAATGACAAAAGCCCGCACCTTAATTGACGCTTTAGCGATGAATGGTGTAAGTGCGTGGAGATTTGACCATTTCCGAATTACTTGATTCCAGGAACATCACAAAATAGTCTGCATAATTCATTTTCTTTCTGTCAAATATTTTAATGGATTTAGAAATTACATTGGAACGCAACTCAACGTCTCTTTACCGCAGAAGAAATGTTGAATGAAAGAATACTGTTTCAGAGATTAACGCACCACAAAACGCAAACAGATTTTTGTTTGGTGTTTAACGCCGCACTCTGCAATAGTGCAGCTATATGACGGCGGTCTGTCAATAATCGAGTCTGGACCAGACAATCCAGTGATTTATATCATGAGGATCGATCCACATGATTGGAATACGATGACATGCATCAATCAAGTCAGCGAGCCTGACCACCCGATCCCGTTAGTCGCCTCTTACCACATGCATAGTCGCCTCTTACGACAAGTTTGGGTTTCTGAAAACCTATTCTAATCCGGATCTTCACGGGTCGCAAATAGATGACTTGTATGTACTGAGGACACAGACCCAGATCAGCCTCTGAATCTGATGAAGGAGGTGACGTCATAGCATATCAAAAGTGACGTACGTGCCACGTCAACAGTGTGAGTGAGTAGGGTTTGATTAAAATTATGTCTTGGGGTTAGACACTAAGATTCAAACTCGGGTACGACTACACACTAGATCAACCAGTTCACAACTGATGCCATCAGATAGCTTGGGTGAGTGAGTGAGTGAGTGAATATGGTTTTACGCTGCTTATAGAAATATTCCAGCAATATCACGGCGGGGGACACCAGAAATGGGCTTCACACATTGTACCCATGTCGGGAATCGAACCCGGGTCTTCGGCGTGACGAGCGAACGCTTTAACCACTGGGATACCCGACCGCCCCTGATAGCTTGGGACTATCTATAATGACTGACCAGAGTTGCGTGACAATCATGGTATTGTTCGTGAAATATAGACATATCTAACGCTTATTTGTGCCACAAAAGCATTAGCAACATATGAAGGTCGGTTCATATTACGATGTAATTACTCCAACGCTCATTGTGTTATGATTTTCTATTACCTCAGTTCTTTCGGTATATCTATACTTGGACAGGCTAAGATAAAACTCCGGGGCGAAATAATTACCCTTGTTACCATACTTGTCATGAGTGTACTGGGGGCGGTCGGGTAGCCTAGTGGTTAAAGCGTTCGCTCGTCACGCCGAAGACCCGGGTTCGATTCCTGACATGGGTACAATGTGTGAAGCCAATTTCTTGTGTCCCCCGCCGTGATATTGCTGGAATATTGCTAAAAGCGGCGTAAAACCATACTCACTCACTCACTCATGAGTGTACTCTCATGAGTATTTCACTTATATCAGCGGATCCTGGCACGAGTAAGGGATGCAACTTTGCAGAGCAAATTGTCTTTCCATAGAGGACTGGGCCAAGTAATGGTGTGTTAAGAGACGAATAATAAGGTTCTGGTTCATACACTGTGGGAATGGTGTATTATCACGTGGCAACGTGAGTCGTTGTTCATGTGTTCAACCACTGGTTCGCCTAGTCAAGATTCCAGTATTTACAGGCTGCCGTTGTATACCCCCCCACCTTTACCCCAAGTAATGGTGCCTAATCATGTCCCAGCGTGGATCGTTGTCCATGTGTTCCACCACTGATCAAGATTCCAGTATTTACAGGCTGCCGTTGTATACTCCCCAGGGAGCTGAGAATGAAAATCGAGTGAACTATGATCCTGTGACCGGGTAGTAATATGATCATTCATTTGGTGAATGACATTTGGCGCATTATAAATATACTTATTATTATTTTATACAGCTGGGATATTCCTGATTGCGGCGTACTATAGAATTCACTCACTCCTTCCCCAGGTATCGACATAAATGAAGATGTTTTATACGGTGACCATTAAACAACATCGTCTTGCGCTTTTTGATGGATGAGGTGAGCATATGAAATTTCATAATCTAAATTACCAAGGTAACGAACGGTCATAAAGACATATTGCTTTTGAACATCTCCTTTAGGGGGCGGTCGGGTATCCAAGTGGTTAAAGCGTTCGCTCGTCACGCCGAAGACCCGGGTTCGATTCCCGACATGGGTACAATGTTTGAAGCCCATTTCTGGTGTCCCCCGTCGTGATATTGCTGGAATATTGCTAAAAGCGACGTTTAACCATACTCACTCCCTCACTCACTCTCCTTTAGGTCAATACCTGGTGTAGTTAAATGAACATCTATTCGACATATTGTAGTGAAATACTCCCACTTGTGTATTTGACGAGGACTTACATGTGTAGATGCACATTTCTCCGTGTAGTGGAAGAGCTTCGCTGTACTTGCATGAACGCATATTCCAACTCTTTTTTTACGCTGAGAGGATGTGCTTAACAACCCCATTAAATTCAGATGTTAAAACTGACGTTTATCAAGGAATGTTGCGACGTTTTTTCTGAGGAGATACCTCAGAAGTGAACACTAGCATTGTTTGTTGCACTGAATTGCTTTGGCTATCTCACATTTTTGAAATATGAGAAGAAACATCTCCCTTGAAAAAACGGCTTCGTTTTAATGAAAATTGACATACGTTCTAGTCCGTGCTAGGCGTTTGTGGAAGCGGATATTATGATGTTTGATTGAAGCAGATTAGATCGTGCAATGACGTTTGCTTATGACGTCACAACACATTTTATGCGTACATATTTAAATGTTGCAATATTTCAAAACACTTAAATATGCCTAGTAAATATTATAAGTAAAAGGAAAAGGTAAATATATATTATGTTATGTTAATAGTTTAAATATGAGAAGAAAAAGTTATACTGGTTTAGTTCTGAAACCTGCACCACTTCGGGACACGCCGTGATATAACTGGAATACAGTTCAAAGTGGCGTTAAACACAGCTCACACACTCACTAACTTTCAGGTAATATCATCATGGCTTATTCGTGGGCTTCCGTGCCATGTTATGACATAAATGGTATGCTGCTGTAGAAAAGAACGCATCTCACATTAATATACACATATCTCTTAATGTAATAAAACGTATGATGTTATCGAATAGGCCATGGTTTAATATTACTCAACCCGTGAGGCTAGGGTTGGTCAGTACCCTATGCTTGGAAACAGCTTAAATGGATCAGTGGTCAGGCGCAGTGCTCATGATATCAACCACAGGTTTGTAAGACCAAGGCTCGATTATTTACAGTCCGCCGTGATATTGCTGGACCATTGATGACGTTGAACAGCATTTAATGACACTAACATATACCGTATATATAATATATGTCAAATAGTGGATTTCGATATAGCAAAATGCAGTCGGTATTTAGGGAAAACCTATTACTAAACTGTTGTGATTTGTCGTCACAGTACGTAACTGACCTAGATACGTTAGAAACACAGATAGACTCGAGTACAGACGCTCGCGCGCGCACGCACACAGACACACACGCATGCACGCATGCACGCACGCACGCACGCAGGTAAATGAATATGTATCAAATGTTGATTACATACGCACGTATGTCATAATAAAATCAATCTTCAACTTTTAAATACTTTTTACGTACGTACGTAATGATAAAACTAATATACACCTGTCGAATGTCTTTACTTAGGACTATTAACGTCGTTATGTCAGTGCAATGGTCTTCAACGAAACCCGATTTCACCTCACCTCACCTCACCTCACCTCACCTCACCTCCCATCACGTACGTCTGTACTTCAATTATCAATATAACCCGCTGTGCAAAAGAAAGAACACACTTTAAAATACCTGCTCCATTCTGCTCAATTGTGTACAGTGAAATTACGACGTCCATATTCCTTATGACGTCATGTGACGTCGCCTTTTTTGAGGTA